CCCTCGCCTCCCCCTCCCCCCTACGGGGCCCCCCATGGACGACCCCCCCCCAGGGGCCCTGCTCCCCTCCCCCCCAGGGCCACCCTACCCATGGAGACACCTCCCCCCCTCCCCCCAGGGGCCCCACATGGAGATACCCTGCCCCACCCCAGGGCCTTGCTCCCCTCCTCCCCTGGGCCCTGCATGGAGACCTTCCCTCCCTTTCCCCCACCTCTGGCAGGGTTCACCCCCATAAGCAGTAGTCCACCCCGAATCCCCCCTCCCCCCCTGCCTTTCCATTTCTAAAGCAAACTCTTGTCTAGGAGCTGCCTGATCCCCTGGAGGCCTGCGCTCCTCAGCCAGTGGTGCTGGTCTGTGGAGGGGGATGGTAAGCGTGGACAGTGGCTGCTTACTGGAAGAGGGGAATGGGGGGGACCTCAGCCCTAGGGTCTCTGTACCTGTGTGTGCTTATCGCAGGTTTCTGTGTGGTTCCCATCACCAGAGCCTCTCTCTTCCTGCAGCTCCAGGTCTGCCTATAAGAGGATGTCAGAGCGCTCAGCCATCCTGGTCCTTCATCAGTCCCTGCAAAAGTGCTTCCAGGCCATACAGCAGCAGCAAGAGGCTTGGCAGACGGCACTGACCGACTGTAAGCCTCTCCTGAGCTCCCTCAGCAATCTGGCGGAGCAGATGCAGGCCTGCCAGAAGGTCACATTTGCACATACACCATTGCGTGGCTTCCCAGATCTGGAAGAGCAGTTAAAGTACAAGCAGCACTGTGCAGCAGAGAGCCTGCTGGAGGAACTGGGGGGCAAAGTGTAAGAGGCTGTTGTGTCAAGACCCTGAAAGTTGTGCGCATTAGGAAAGCTTGGGCAAATGTGCTGAGAGAGGTGGGATTCCCCTTCTGGCCTGTTTGCAGAATTCACATCTGAAGGAGAGGTGATAATGTCAACCTAAGCATCACATTTCTGTCTGGAAATGTTGTACCTCTTGTTCTAACAATAAGTAAAATCATAACAACTGAAAGTGATGAGCAAAAAAAATTTCCCCTGCCTTTCAGTTTGTTTACTTTGACTTTACATGGTGGGCCAGATTCTCAGCTGGTGTCAATCAGTGTAGCCCCATTGAGTTCTGTTGGACCTTTGTTGATTTACAATAGCTAAGAATCTGGCCGAGTATTGTTAAATATTCATTGTCACCCTTTGACCTCGTTTTGTGTCAGTCTTTCTCACAGAATCTTGGAAGTTTGTGTGGGATGAGCATTTTAAAAAAGGAGAAATATGTAATTGTAAAACCACAAGAATTATCAGGGGTCTCAGCCATGTGTAATACTTAATAGTTTAGAGAAGTTAATAGTACTCATTAGATTTCAAGTTACAATGTCTCTTTAAATTATGTAATTTGTTCACGCTTTCAGAAGCATGCTCTATGTGATCAGTTACGTAGCCACATAGGTTTGCCTTTTCCTCCCATGAGTTCCCTAGGTCCAGTTCAGGTTACATGAACTGCATATTGTTCAACTTACCAAACTGTCACTGCAGAGTGAAGCACTTTTTTTTTTAAAGCAAGTACTTAGACTTGTCCATGTAAATCATTTTGGGGTACAAAGTAAATGAGGCCACCCTTTGGAAAACACAGCCCTGAGTATTACTCTCTGTTTTCGCAGAGCTGACTTGCAGAAAGTGCGGGATGCAGTTAGTGGCTACGTGGGCACTGTTTTCCAACTCTATGAGCAGCATGCGGATGTGCTTGGTTTTGAGGCTTTGGTGCAGCATACTGCTCTTATCCCCTCGCTGGCTGACATGTTGGAATGGCTGCATGATATTGAGAGATATTACCGACATGTGTATCCTTCACTAGAAGAGCTAAAAGTTTGTAGCTCAAACAGGGTCAAGGAGGTTGTTGTCTTGATTCGTGTCAACAGAACTGGATTGACCTTTCTTTATTTGTGAGTTGTCATCAGCTGGTGACCAGTAAGGTCACAATAAAACCTCACCAAGGATCTGGATGGACAGCTCTGTCAAATTGCTCCTGCCCCCACCTTCAGGAGTCAGTCTCCTGGCCCTGCTGTTTGGCCAAGGGAAATGAGACGAATAGGGGAAATTTTTAATAAGTGAATTTCCCAAAGAATTTAGAAAATACAGTCCATAGAGGGCAAAGAAGCTTAGAGACTTGGGGTGACTATTGTTAGTGTGCTTTGACAAGGAACAACAATTCACGCTCTCTCAGCATGTCCTGGTGGGAGGGGGAGTTGGACTGCAGGGCTACAATGGGGCACTACTCTCTTTTGAGCTCATAATTTCCTAAGAAGTCAGCTTGCTTATGTTTCCTTCTCTCCCCGACCTCCCACTGGCCCCACATTTCAATCCTTACCTTCCAGAAAGATACCTGGAGAGTAAACTCCTCCTCCTCCAAATCAGATATGAGAACTTGCCAGACATGCAAACCCTGCCGCAGTCCTGGGAGAGGATTTTGGAGCACAATAGCCGAAACATGGTTCAAGGTATTTTCATAACAACTCTTAAACATCTTAATGTGAGCTTAGTGCTATTGAAAGGGGCTGGTGTGGTGGCCCTGGAGACTGAAGGCCACTGTTTATCACCTGAACCTATACTGTACTGGGTTTGTTTAGTCTGGAAAAGAGAAGACAGTTTTCAAGTACCTAAAAGACTTTTACAAGGAGGAGGGGAAAAAATTGTTTTTCTTCACCTCTGAGGACAGGACAAGAAGCAATGGGCTTAAACTGCAGCAAGAGAGGTTTAGTTTGGACATTAGGAAAAACTTCCCAACTGTCAGGGTGGTTAAGCGCTGGAATAAATTGCCTAGGGAGGTTGTGGAATCTCCATCGGGGATTTTTAAGAGCAGGTTGGACAAACACCTGTCAGGGATGGTCTAGATAATATTTAGTCCTGCCATGAGTGCAGGGGCCTGGACTAGAGACCGCTCGAGGTCCCTCCCAGCCCTGTGAGTCCATGCAGCCACAACAATGTCTATCACCTAGTACTGGTATTTCGGGATACCATTTGTTCTGTGGACATCTATCCTCTGGGAGCTGGACTGAGACCCACCGAACAATCACTGTGTGGTAACAACTTGGTCACTGCAAACCTGGGGCCTTTGAATAGAGGCAAAAGGTTCAGTATCCCATTGACCAGTCCTCCTAAGATATTGTGTTGGTGGTGGGTTACTCACCGTTGGTCCTTGGTAATAAGCGGGGAAGTTCTGTGTGTGTGTGATGACAAAATAACACTTAGCGCAACATTAATGGCTTCTTTTCTTTCCTCCCAACTTAGACACTCTTCTGAAGGTCTCCTTTCTGGAGACTCTGTGAGGGGCTCTATTGCTAACCAGCTTGCAGAGAGAAAACACCAGAGGATTTGTATGGAATGATTAGTTTTGGGTGCCCAGGATAATACCTGTTCAGGATACCCATGAAGA